CTGGATTTGAATTGGGTCTGGAGTTTAAGTGAATCTGGAGCTGAGGTGGGTCTGGAGTCGAGGTGGGTCTGGAGCTAAGGGGGGCCTTGTTTTCTTTGTTTCTTTTGTTGTTCAATTACTTAGAATTTCATCCAGCTTATTTTCTATAAAAATGATTAATCTTTATTTAAATTTAACAATAGTCTGCTATGGCAGTCATGGTATGATCTACGTGCAGCTCTGTGTAATTGTGTGTGTTGTTTGCAGATATTAAAGGTTAAAAAAATACAAAGAATGAGTCTTATTGGTCAGGAGAGAAGGAAAGAGTAAAGGGTCTTCTTGAGGACATGGTCTGCCAATGGCCAAAGAGATGGAGGAGAGGGAGAGATGGTGGTGTTGGGAAGAGAGAGAGATTGAGAGAGAGAGAGATGTTTAGAGTGAGCGTTCTATTTGTTTCTCTTTCAGAACAGATGGATTGTTTTAATAGGTTCCGATCTGTTCAGCTGATGTCATACACACTTGCCCACATCCTGCCTCTGTTTTTTTAAGCAGAGTTTGTGTGTGTCTGTGTATGACGTGTTCAGTTCGTGGGGACTCATAGACCCTGTTTACACCTGGTCATTTCATACATCTTAAGTATTAGGAATATTTTTGGATAGAGATTATGCACCAGGCACATGCGCAGTTAGACCCCAGTGGAAGTGTGAGCCATTCCTAGTTACAACATTCCTGGCCTTAAATTGCTCATTCCAACTTCCATCAATCTCAGAGTGAGCACATATGTAAAACTATTTTGATAAGATAAATCATTAATCATCTTGTCTTTGTTCTGTTTTTGTTTAAATACAGGTCAAAGTAGATTTATGAATCACTGTTTTCTGTTTTTTTTGCATTTCACCTACTGTCCCAACTTTGGAATTAGGCATGTAAGCAATTAACCATTTACTGACAAATAAGTAAATGTTCAACCAATGCAATCAGTTAAATAAACAACAGTTACTATTTGAATAGATAGGTTTATCATTTCAGTTGAGTAATGTTTTAAATTTTCTGTATGGCATCAAATCCAGTTAAAGATTTGCAAGCTAGGAAAATCGCTCTTGCGCGAGGAAAACCACTCTTGCGCACGGAGAAAACTACTCTTGTGCGCAAGGAAAACCACCCTTGAGCCCGACATTCAGCTGTTCTTTCTGCTCACTGTTAAGCTTCTGCTCACACAAGAGTTCAATTAATTTTTGACAGCTGTGGGCGGGTCCCAACGTATGATTGGTTACTACTGATTTCTGTATTGTGATTGGTTGGCTGTCAATGGTCGTCAGAGCTTTGGACGCATATAAAAAACCAGGAACAGGACTTTCACTCTAGAAGAAGACCCTCATAGTCCGCCGGTACACGAGGGTTTTTTCTTGTGCGCAAGAGTAGTTTTCCTTGCGCGTAAGAGTACTTTTCCTCGTGCGCAAGAGTAGTTTACCTTGCGCGAGAGCGGTTTGCTCACTTCCGAATTTTGAATTAGATTTGACGCCATATGTATGATTTGGGCACAATAAGCAATTCTGCTAGATAGGCCTTATCTGGTCATGAAAACAGCAGTGTGGTCATACAGTGATGTCTAATATTGTGTGTATTATTATAGCGGCTTCAAAGGTGGCTCAGCCAATCAGATTTGACACACAAAAGTGTCACATATTTGATATAAGCCTGGCCAGACAATTAGTCGTCTAATGACGGCCACTTGTCGGTGAAAAAAGATTGCCAAAGTTTGCCTTCCTAATCTGTGTGTATGCATGTGTCTGTCTTTACATGTGTGTGTGTGTGTGTGTCAGTGTGTGTGCACGCCAGGTTCTCTTCCTGTGTTTCTCTGTGTTTGAAACAAATGCCAACATAAACCCAGTGACCCTCCAAACGAACACACACACATTATCACTGACACACACATCTCAGCGCTCTTAGTTACTATCCCATCTGCACACACACACAAACACACACACACAGATGCTGCTGAGAGCTGTTAAACTCATCTGAAAGGCCTGAGGCTACGGAGATGTTTTTTTTTCTTTCTCTGTAAAAGCAGGACATTCATCACTTCACAACACGCAACACTGATACACACACTTTTCTTATTCCACAGGATCCGGTGTGTGTGTGTGTGTGTGTGTGTGTTGCCTTTTCCTGGCATTTTGGACAAGTGTTGACGAGCGCTTTCACAACACGAACCCCCACATTCTGAGTTTGTTGACAGAAGAGGGTCTGCTCTGTGAGTGTATGTCTGTGTGTGTGTGTGTGTGTGTGTGAATGTGTATCTACAGTGTATACATGTGTAGGATACGAGGAGTGACTTTAAATGGGTTTTAGACATGTCTGTGTCATGTGACAACCTGCTTGCGGTCACACAGTTGCGTGTGTGTCCATATATATATATATATCAATATATGTTCAACAGATGTTTCGGTAGTGACAATTTTAGCTAGTTCCGAGCACAACTGTAAAACGCTAGCCAGTACATGACTAGCAAACACAGCTTTAAACAGCTGTGCACACATTAAATCATGACATTTTTCATGAAAATACAGAAAGTTGACTTAACTGAAGAAGATATGTGTTTCGGTAGGGACAATTCTTAATTTTCCATGCTGATTTTCATACTTTAGGACACTTTTACTTTAAAACAATGGGATCTAACTGCTCACTATGTGGCCATGAGAGCTAAAATGCAGTCTCACTTCCTGTTTGTTACTATCTCAGTCTTGGGTTTAAATAGATTATAAGTTTGTAAACTAATTTGAAGAACAAAGTTTGGTTCAAGATATATACAGAGTGAGCACAACTCCGTTTTGTCCGTTTTCTCAGTAACAGCTTCTTGACAGCTACACGTCCTTTCAGACCCATAGCGTTGCATTGTCTTCTCACAGTGGAAGGATGGGCAGAAACACCTATGGAGTTTTTCAGGCCTGAAGCAAGAGTGGAGCTTGGTTTTCTCCTCTCTCTCAAAGATGAAAGCTGATTAGTGGGTTTTGGTGGTCTACCAGATCTTGCAGGTGGTTGGTAGGAGTCCCATTTTCTCAATATCTTTAAATCATTGTTTTGAACTCTAGCTTTGGAAACCTCTGTTTTTTCCATTTATTTTCTCTGGATTTCCCCCTTCCTCGTCAAGTGAATGACCTTATATCTAATCTCCACACCAACTCATCCTAAGAGTCCTGAATGGTGCTCAATCACTCCAGAGAACGCAGGTCCAGTACTCCGCTGTACATTTACAAAGCAAGGATTATTTTGTTGGTTCTTTAGTTCTCTGGTGTTGCTACGGAGGCAGGACGCTTTTAAAGCCATACAGATGCATGTGTGTGTGTATATATATATATATATATATATATATATATACGTATGTGTGTATATATATATATATATATATATATATACACACCCTGTGGCATTGTTTTTTCAGTGTGTTCGAGAGTGCTTGATCAGTCCTCCCTGGACACACTGTTATTATAAACGTGTTCTGGTTACTGATCCAGCTTGTTCTTTAATACACGCACTGGAATGCTGGACAGAGAACTGGTGGCAGATGTTCAAAGTAAGAAGGAGCGATCCTCCCCTGGACAGGCTTGGACTCTTCTGCAGGATATGAAAGGGGAATGGGGGCTGGCACAGACCAAGTGTTACGGGGGAGGGGGGTGACCTCTCACTGAGTGGGAGCAGCAACGACTTCCTCTTCGCTTCCTGGAGTTGTTTTCACTGTCTGGCTGATGCAGAGTGACCTCTGACCTTATGTGTGTCGCTGAAATTCATAACATCGATATCAGAGAGACTTTTTGCAGATGAAACTACTGCAGAACTTCCTAAATCTCGTAACGTTTGTACTACTTCAGTGAAGTATTGGCAAAGCTGTTGCTACGTATGGTCAGGCCAGCAAAGCTAAATTAATGGAATCAAACTGAGCTGTAAATGTTCAGCAATTGAGCTTAAATTGAGTCTGATGTCTTCAAATACACTGTAAACCCCAATGTTGTAATAATTGCCCAATAATGTAATACAGTGTCTTAACTAATAGTGTAATAATACTTTACACCAAAAATGTATTATTTTTTTTCATGTATCCTGAGCCTGTATTTTCAATGGAACAATATAAATTGTGCTATATTAGCAAATCTGGCACAAATATCCCTCTATATAACCAAAGTAAGTCATCCAGTAAGAGTTTACCACTTAAAAAAACACATTGAGTGCAGGGAACACAGGCATATGGCCCATCCACATGAATTACATTTAACAGTTCAGGGCCCTGGTCAAGTTTTCTAAGTCTACATTTTCTAAGTGAAAATAATTTGACATCATCTAAGAGACACCCTTCTGCAACCTTAATACACAATGACTACTTATTAGGTGAATTTAACATACTGGGAAAAAAATTAAACACAAAATTTGGTGTAACCAAGTTGTGACGCATTTTATTTTTCCGATATGTTTTAGTAATGAAGCTAACCAACCTACTAGCTCTGTTTCTGGGGCAAGGGTGAGCTGAGCCTTGAAGAGTGCATTTGGAAGAGTGGCCACGTAAAACACTATTATACAAGCCAACCAGGAGGGCACTCATACAGTCTGAGGGCAAAAGGGCAAGACCCTCACCCCCAACCCCCAAATGTATTTTTACATTTTGAGAGCAGCTTAAGAATTTTATTTCGGACAAAAAAAAATGCATGCTTTCTGGAGGGCTGAAATCAAATGTAATTGTTTTCAACTGTAGAAAAATCTGTGTAGTTGAATTGCCACTTTCAGACTGATGCATGAACAGCTGCATTCATTAGAAGTCATTAGTATAGAATATATTAAAAGTACTTAATAATTGTGATGCTTTGAAAACATGTTAACTTGTAGATCCTAAGTAAGTCTCTCTCTCTCTCTCTCTCTTTCTCTCTCTCTCTCTCTCTCTGTCTCTCTCTCTGTCTCTCTCTCTCTCTCCCTCTCTCTCTCTCTCTCTCTCTCTCTCTCTCTCTCTCTCTCTCTCCCTCTCTCCCTCTAAGGCTCTGATGCGGCCAGGCCGTTTGGACCGGATCGTGTATGTGCCTCTCCCGGACGCTGCCACCAGGAGGGAAATTTTCACCCTGCAGTTCCGTAACATGCCTGTCCATTCCAACGTGCACCTGGACGACCTTGTGACCCGCACAGAGCGCTACTCAGGGGCAGAGGTGAGGGGTCATGAGCGTTGTGGGGTGGCACAACAGACGGTTCTGTACAGCTCTCATCACACTCCTTTTCTTGGGGAAGCATTTTGTTTGTTCGCTTTTTTATGTCTTTTTAATTAGGAAACTGTCGACAAAATACGAGGAGTGTAAACGTCTGACTTCATGATTCACTTATGTTATGATGCCTTATGAAAACGATTCTCGCTAGCCTGGCTAGTGTGTCCATCAGTCAGTTGTCCACACAGCAGCAGGGTCTGGCAGCCTGTAGCTTCAATCAAGCCAGAAAAGCACAGAGAAAAGTGCTGCTACTAAAAATTAAAGGAAAATACTACAAAGACAACATATCAAATGTTGAAACTGAGAAATTTATTGTTTTTTGAAAAATATATGCCCATTTTGAATTTGATGCCAACAACACATTCCAAAAATGTTGGCACAGGGGCATGTTTACCACTGTGTTTCATCAGCTCTTCTTTTAACAACACTCTGTAAGCGTTTGGGAACTGCAGAGACACTGCCGTAGTTTTAAAAGTAAAATGTTTTCCCCATTCTTGTTTGACGTAGGATTTCAGCTGCTCAACAGTTCTGGGGCTCATATGTCGTATTTTTCATTTCATAACCCTCCAAATGTTTTTATTGGGTGACAAGTCTGGACTGCAGGCAGGCCAGTTTAGCACCCGGACTCTTTTAATACAGAGCCATGCTGCTGTAATACATGCAGAATGTGGTTTGACATTGTCTTGCTGAAATAATCAAAGCCTTCCCTGAAAAATACGTCGTCTGGATGGCAGCATATGTTGCCAAAACATGTATATATCATTCAGCATTAATGGAGCCTTCACAGATGTGCACGTCACCCATGTCATGTGCACTAATGCATACCCAGATCATCATGAATACTGGCTTTTGAACTGTGCACTGATAACAAGCTGAGTGGTCTTTAGCCCGGAGAACACAGTGTCCATGATTTCAAAAAAGAATTTCAAATTCATCGGACCACAGGACACTTTTCCACTTCACCTCAGTCCATTTTAAATTAGGTCGGGCCCCGAGAAGGTGGCTGTGTTTCTGGATCCTGTTTATATATGGTTTCTTCTTTGCGTTTTAGAGTTTTAGCCCATGCAGTGATTTCCACTACAGAATCATGTCTGTTTTTAATGCAGTGCCTCCTGACGGCCCAAAGATCATGGCCAGCCAGTACTGGTTTTTGGCCTTGTCCCTTGCATACAGAGATTTCTCCAGATTCTCTGAATCTTTTAATGTTATTATGTACCGTAGGCGATTAAAAGCAGAATTTCTTTGCTATTTTATGTTGAGAAACGTTATTCTTGAATTGTTGCACTATTTGATCATGCAGTCTTTCACAGAGTGGTGGACCCCTCCCCATCTTTACTTCTGAAAGACTCAGCCTCTCTGAGATGCTCTTTTTATACCCAATCATGGTACTGACCTGTTGCCAATCAACCACCAGGTTGATTTAGCATTACACAACTTTACCAGCCTTTTGTTGCCCCAGCCCAACTTTTTGGGGGCATCAAATTCAAAATGGGCAAATGTTTTTCAAAAAACAATAAAATTCATGTTGTCTTTGTACTGTCTTTGTAAAAATTAGGGATAGACCGATACCTCTTCTTACCCCATATATATATATATATATATATATATATATCTTACCCCATATATATAGTGGGGTAAGAAGAGGTATCGGTCTATCCCTAATTTTTGTTTAAAGTGGAAATCACAGCAGTATGATGTAGTATGTCAAAAAACAGACACAGGACGTCCATCAAACCCAGAGTGACACATTCAGACACCTTTTTTGATTATAATGTGTTTTGCTTTTGTCATTGTAATTGTCGCTCACTCATGTCGTTTGCTGTCAGGACAAGGTGTCAGAGTCTGGCATGTTCAGTGCGATAAGAGTGACTCTGAAGGAATAAGTGGTCCAGTTTTATGCCATTCATATGCATGGATACCGTAAAAAGTGTGTGTTTGTATATGAGACAGAGCGAGTTGTTTTCTTTTCCTGATGGCTTGTCCGCGTCCTCGTGATTCTTAGCTCATACACAAACGCCCCATTGTCCGTCTTTGTGTCTTTGTGTGTATGAGAGCAATTCAGAGTGACGGCGAGGAAGAAAGAGTATGTGCGTTTGTGTGAGTTCAAGTTGGAGAATTGTGTTGTTTCAAATGACTCAGCAGCCACTGTTTTTGTGCGAGACAGAAATGCTCCGAGTCTCGTCCGGCTGAGTCCGGATCAGCCACCCGGTCATCAGTCAAAGAACAGCAAATACCCAGGAAACATGCTATAAACAGTTGCGACACACTCGCACTCACAGGTTTGTGTTTTTCACTATGTCGAGACCCATGAATTATGCAGTACTACATAAAAGTCGGAGACCACCCTTCATTTATTTAATATCCAGTCAAAACAACCATTAAGTATTTATTTTACAGTGTCAGTGAAAAAAGCAGAAAACATAACAATATTGCCAAGAAGCTTCAACAACTAATTGCATCATCACCTTTTTCACTGTTTAGTATGTATTACAGCTTCTGTTCCTTTCAAGAGACTCACTTTCAGTTTTTCAGAGAAATCTGCAGGGATGTTTTTCCACGCCTCCAACGTTCAGTCTTAGAAGTTGGTTGCATTTTCTGCTTCTCATGATCCGAGTACCTCTAAACCAGGGGTATTTAATTAAAATTCAATAAGGTCCAGTTAGAGAAAATTTCCTCAAGCAAAGGTGCATCATGATTCAGTGCCATATCCTGTATGCTAGTAGTCTAGTAGGTACATCAACATCTTATGCAGTCAACAACTGAATGTCAAATCAAATAAAGTTCATTTCAACTACATTTATTGTCACTTTTAGAGTACGCAATGTGAAATAACATCCCTCTGACTCACTTTCTTCCCCGACTGCTGTGTTTCACCTCGTCCCTCTCCTGTGTCTGCGTCACTCACTCGAGTCTCGGTGCTCATCGTAATGCACAGATCTGATTGGCTGAGTAGCGTCATGTGTGATATTTACAACGCATGCGATTGGTCTGTGAGTTTCCCGGGCCGCTAAAGCAGTACTGGAAAAGCTAGAAAAGTTGATTAAAATAGGACCACCTCGTCGAAATTAGCCTAGTAGTGACATCTGCTCTAAACACATTCAGTGATGTTGAGGTCTGGACTCTGGGGTGACCAGTCCATTGTTCTGAGAACGCCAGCAGCTTCTTTGCTTGATTTTTCTATTTCCTTTTTTCAGCAAGGGCTTCTTGACAGCTACACATCCTTTCAGACGCCTAGCATTGAGTTGTCTTCTCACAGTGGAAGGATGGACAGAAACACCTGTGGATTCTTTCAGATCTGAAGCAGCTTGATTTTCTCCTCTCAAAGATGAAAGCTTAAGTTTTGGTGGGCTACCAGGTCTTGTAAGGTTGTTAGAAGTTCCATTTTCTCTGTATCACTATAGTACATTTATGAGCTCCAGTTCTGGAAACGCCTGTGGTTTCACTTATTTTGCGTTGACTTTCCTTTTCCTTAAGATCAACTTGTACATAATGGCTATTTTGACTGAAGGTTGACAGAGGTAACCACACGCATTTGATCATACTCTCACAGTTCTGTACTCTTTCTCCTGCACTGACTATTTGCGTTCTCAGAGCTTTGTTGCTTTACATTATTTTGTATTTAGTTCATTATTAATGACATTTCTATAATGCCAGAAAAATAAACGTTGGTAGAGTTACTTATCACAGTGTATCTAGAAATGTTTTGAGTTAAGGCTGCATTGATTGGTTGAAAAGGCTGATAAGTCGACACTGAAGCCAGTATGGAATGAGGTCAACATCACTTTCTTAAAGCGCTGTTTAGTGCTCTACAGTATTCATATGATACACATGGCCATTCTGACAGACTGGAACACAGTACAGCAAGTATGATGGGGCAAAGTGAGAGGAAATGGTAGAATGCACAATGGTTGGGCCAACTGCTTAAAAATAGTCAGTAGATTAATCAGTTGCAGAATTATTTAGTAGTTGCAGCACCATCCTGAATATATGAGTGCATAAGCATAGTTTTCCCTTGGAATGCTTCTGAAAACCTCTGTTAACTAGAGGTTTTTGGGACAATCACTTAATAGGCTATTTTAAGACTCACTAACATAATCTTTATGATAGAAATGCAAGAAGAAGAGCTGCACCACTGACATATGAATAACTCATTTGCATGGTTACGTTACACCTATTTGCACTGACTATGATGCACCCATTTGCATGATTACACTCATTTGCATGATTATGTTACGCCCATTTACATGGTTACACTACACACATTTGCATCGTTACCATGCACCAGTTGGCACAATTATGACACACAGTTTTGTGTGGTTACACTACACTCATTTACATGACCACGCTACACCCATCTGTATGGTTACACTACACCCATTTTCATGGCTATGCTTTTATTGCCATGTTGCGGCTACACAGCAGAACTAGATTTTTAGGTAGAAATAAAATAATCCTCCTTTGCAGTAAAATAAATCTCTGCTGATCGATGTAACACACAGTTCTAACACATTTTTCCCAATAAATGGTCTTAAACACTAGACTTAATGCATAAATGCTAATCTGCTTATTCACTGACCATTAACCCTGAAGATTGGTGCACAGACTGCTGGTCACACAGCAAAGCAGATAACAATCTCGCCTACCTAGTAGCTAACAAAACGGCAAAGAGAGAAATGTTAAGACGAACATTGATATTTTGGAGTCGATTGGACTTCATTTGCATTTGTAATCACTCCTATTGTTTCCTGATATCTTTAACCTGCAACAAGAATCTGTCAAACACTAAAAAGTCAGCTTCTCATTCACCAGCTTCTGGTTGAAATTGTCCAGTTCCACCTTAAATGGTGCAGCAGTTACATTCTGGTGCCTCAGGCACCATTTAAGGTGGAACGGGAAAATTCAAACAAGAAACCACGAATGAGAAGCTGATTTCAGCCTCATAAAAA